GCAGTCTCAGCCATATGTGGAAATTGTGCAGCTAATATATAACACAACACATTAGTTGTGTTCCTTTAACTGGTGGATATAGAGTTGCTGCAGCGGAGACAGCTGCAACACAAACAACCAAATACGAAAACATAATTCAGATCCAGTCGTCATGACTCCACTCCGGAGGGATTCCCCGATCATTTCTTACAGTTTCTCATCAAGGGGTGTCTCCTGTCCCCGGTACAAACACACTGCCTGAGGAAGGCTATGTGTATTTATTTTGTCATGAACCTTTTTCGGACCACTTATTTATTTATTTTGGTGACGATCTGACCTCCATGCTGCTACTCTGGCTCAAACTGCATCCACCAAACAATATGATTTATCTCGACCTCCCCAAAATAACCAAAATCTGACACGGTGTGAGATGTCTTTTTTAGCTGTTCTGTCGTCATTTCATGCACTTCTTCATAAAGTCAGTCAAAATGAATGAATGAATGGGCGTTTCTTTGACTATTAATAGGCAAATGGGCGTTACGCGAAGCCCGCAAAAGCTGCAGCGCATTTCGAGTCGATTGTGATTTATAAAGGGAAACCGGCGTGGGAAGTGCCGCCGGTACGCAATGTTTGGTGAATCGGAAAATGTCGGAAAATGTCTGAACCTATTTCTTGGATTTCTACTACGTAAGCAACCTTCCCACGTGAATCCTAGGCACGGCGTTATAAAAAATGAGGCCCCAGATCAGATTGGCTAAAGCGTTTTTTTTACTCACAACTCAGAAACTATGCTTAACGAATGGACCAAAGAATAAGCCATTACCTTTTGGAACGTGTCCAAATGACCAATCAGATACCAGGAGTTTTTATTATATTATTTATGTTTTAACATTGCAAGAAAAAAGGGCAATTGGTCTGCGTTTATGTGATGTTGTAATAAAACAAAGTAGTTTTAACTAGGATATTTTATGTGAATGCCTCAGGTCAGATCCACAATTTGACTTTAAAAAAACAACTAATTGAATGGCTTACCTGAACCGTTCACCCTGCTCTTTATTGTCACGCAAATACTGGAAACATTATCAACAATAAAGAAGACCAACAAGTGCTATACTAGTTTTGTCCTGTGTTTCACATATCAGGCTTCATACAGGCTGACATTATTGGTGGTTGTTGTTGGAGCTGAATTCAGGCTTAAAATCAATACCTGCATAATATGCTCAGACCTTTTTACACAATGTCTCAGTATCGCAGGATTCATTCAAATACACATCAATATTTTAGAAAAAGCAGTAAAGCACATAGAGTAAACATTACGATCAACTATTAGGTCTCCATCAATAGAGACAATTTAAGTAAGCTTGCTGCCGAATAGCTTTACTACTATCTCGCATAAAATATAAAACATTTTAATGAAGGGAAAAAGATGCTGAATATTGTGTTTATTTTACCCCCCACTTTTGTAAGCAAACCTACTCCCTTGTGTTTACCTCCCTGCATCTCATTAAAAGCACTGTGCATAAATGCTCATTGATGTACAGTAGTGAAGATTGGCTTATTTACAACACATACTGGCTCGTGGGTGTAGCTGCATTCTTTGTCACACTGTTTTACATTACATTTAATATCCCATTCCTCCCAGATTGCCAAGTCTGAAGGGATTTCATGTTACGAAGAGTCCTGCCATATGGTGTTTGCGCTAACTGTTAGGGGAAAGTCAGTGTGACACTGATCCGGTTATACCTATTTTAAACTATTGCAGTCATTCAAGGTGATGCACACAGTGGTTGAGAAGCTGTCATTTGATCTGAGAACATAACTGAGAGAAGAGGAGATGCTTTGCCAGTCGCGATGATATGAAAGGACAGACTGAAGCCCACATTGAACTATTGGACTGCTTGTTCTGAAGGGATTTGTTCTGGATCAGGATGTGCTGCCATTAAAAGGCTGGTGTCAGATTTATGAACTCCAGATCAAATGTAGGAACAGATTATGATACATTAATTTGCCCACAGTGTGATAGTCCACTCAAAGACAGGCATGACATGGAAGGATGACTGAATAATTGCCTATCGATATAATGCACGGATACAAATAGTAACCTAAAACCAGCTACTGGTTCAAGACCTAGCAAACAGATAAAACTGCAGCATCAGTCAACCTCAATCCACATCGATTTTCATGTCCCATGATAATTTGTAAGCTTGCATCTTAAACAAATAAGAAGATAATAAATACATCTTGATTAAATCTTATTAAATAAAGATTTAATAAACATAAACATGTGAACCCAAGGCACTCAGTGTGTGATGGGAGATCAAACTCTCAGCCCCAGAAGACCATGTGTCCATCGTCTGTCTTTTCTCCAATAAAAAGGGTCAATGAGAATGCCCTGATTTCTGAATCTTTTCACCCAGTGAAAAGAGGTCTGCGCTCTGCTATTGCCCTTCTTAGTACAGTATGTGATTATTCTTATATATATTTAAGGATTATGAGTTTTAATGGGTTTAGGACGTTAAAGCTTTATATGTTACACCCATAATGCGATGTACTTGTCCTTTTTAAACACTGTGATATTGAACGTAATTGACCATATCGACACTCTGGCTCACTGCAGAGTGCAGCAGCTACTGTCTGAGGATGAACTCCCAGGTAATGCTCTGATGATCGACTGTAATTGGCAGTTTGACTGACAGTTACTGTGTGACTATCACTACGGTCCTGCACTCTGCCTGAACCCTACCTTACCACTTCCCCGTTTTAGGTATACATTCAAAACTAACCATAGAAATCAGCAGAGAGTTTCAAATTGAGGCAGCATGCCATTGTGACGATGTCCCTTTGTCAGCTGAGCAGTCAGCTCAATGCTGATTAATGAGCTGGGGTCAAAGTCTCCCAGGAGGAAGTCGCCATTATCTCCAATACTGCGCTCGTGGGAATATCTGAATAGAGGTGAAGTCAGGAAAGGCAATCAGTGTTAATCACAATGAAAGAGCACACACTTTGATCTATGCTCCCCTTCCCTTTCCCTCCACGTTTGTCCCACTGGGCAAACAGGCAAATCCAGCAGAGACTAGTTAGGCCATGTTTAGTTTTATGTCAAGGTTTTGGCTATTATTGCGGGTTCATGAATAAAATATAACCAGCAGTTTTTAGACATTTTGTGAGGCTGGTACAGTGCCTGGAAGACAAATGTTTTATTGATTAAACAACAACCATGTGAAATAAAGAGAGTAACAATGAAACAAATGTAAATAAAGATTATTATATAACTAGATGGGACGATTGGGTGCACCGTATGCAGGATTGTGTAAATGTTCATATATCTTGGGCTCTCTTTACAGCTTTTATTTATTTCATTTAATCTTTTATTTGGCAGGGACAATGCACAGAAATGAACACTTAAAACATTCTAATGTATCAAGCGTAACAGTGCCAGATTTAGCTTTGAGCTAATTTCCATCCGCAGTCCCTCAGTGCTCAGCTCTAGTGCTGGGTTTATAATCATAGCTTTCCTCGTTGTTATGTTCAGTCAAATCATAAAGCCAGCCAGATTACTCTGCCTAAATTATTTTTGTAATGGTTTTCAAGGGATTTGTGCCTGACTCAGCCCCTGAGCTGTTAAATCTTGACTTCAGGTGTTCAGCCTTTTGGACGCTGTTTGACCGTTAGCAAATGTATGCTTTGATTAAATTGAACAATAAAAACTTGATTAGATCCTATGTTGCCCAGACCGTAAAGGTGTATTATCTTCACTATATGGGGTTTCTTTTCTTTTTGCAGCACGGTGAAACCAGGGAGAGCCTCAATAAACTGCAGCGCTGAGTTCTCCTTCCTCTTTATTGTTAACACCATCTTTTCCCCCCTTTCATCTGTTTCAGGACTCAGATTCACTTCACAGTGGCCATTGATTTCACTGCATCAAACGGTGAGTGTTTTCACTGCCATCACCCTGTTCTGCTTCCATTTGTCTTCTGATGCAGGCATATGGCATTCTCCATGAATCAAAGAGGGGGCTGGATTTTCTCTCCCTGCTTATTATATTTAATCTTTTATACATAGCACAAATTATTATAAACTGCATTCAGAAAAGGTAAACAAAACATGTATCTTGTGCAGGGTACAGAGAAAACAATATGCCGATTATGAAAGGACACATAATGCATACCAAATGCTATAGTTAAATAAGATGAGACGGTATGTTCATGTAGATGTGGAAATGGAAGTTCATAGCGATAACATCTATCTCCATTCTCCCTCTGTTATCCTCCACCTAATGAGCTCCAACAATTGAAGATCACACAGTCATAAACACTCTGGAGGTGTTTCAGTATATGTGGAGGTTGTGTCTAAAAAGTCAGGGCGGGAAAATAACATCACACCAAGAAATGTAAACAAGTACAATTTTGAGATACTTGTTCCTTCCTTCCTTCCTTCCTTCCTTCCTCCCTTGAAAAGACACATATTGAATCCTAGTATTGTTATTAGCACATTATAGTCACATTGAACACCTCTGATTCAGAAGATCCTTTATTTAGTTGTGGCTCTCTCACGGTGCTCCGGTTGCAGCTGTCGGTCCGGCCTCACTCTGATGGTTTGCCTCACTGACTCTGAATTCTCTTTTCTTGGAAGGAAATCCGTCCCAGTCTACTTCACTGCATTACATGAACCCTTACCAGATGAATGCCTATGCTATGGCTCTCAAAGCCGTGGGAGAGATCATCCAGGACTATGACAGTGATAAGATGTTCCCGGCTCTGGGATTTGGTGCTAAGCTGCCCCCTGATGGAAGGGTCTCCCATGAGTTCCCGCTGGTGAGGAAACTATGAGCTTTTTTACATAGACTGTATAGGAAGTGAGCGAATTCATCAATCGTTGATTTGTAGAATTCAGTTTGAAAGCCTCAAGTTTTCATCCATTTTGTCATTTTGGGAACCAGTAGCGACACAAGAGGGCGATTCTAACTGCAACCGTATGCTAAACAAGTTTGTTCTCAGGACAAAAAAAGCAAACAGTGCACACTTTCATTACCAACTTTATCGTCTATTTTATTCTATACGAGACCATGAGTTACAAAATCATGCTGTATTAAAGAAGACTTGAAACTACAATTTAGACGAAAACTATTTTTTGGAAAAGGTTGGCTGAGGTAATGAATCAAGCGATAATTTATCCTAGACTTTTATACAATTTTACTTCTTTTTGCAAACAAGTGGAGTCACCCCCTTCTAGCAATTAGAAAGAATGCAGGTTTAAATCATTTCTGCACTTCTTTATTTTCAGGCCTGGAGGTTTCCACCGGGTTATTTCAGACACTCGTGTTTTAATTCAGCTTCAGAATTGTTCATAATTTTAATCAGACTATATGTGAAAATGAGTTTTTGCCGTCCCAATGGAGCCTATCTCTGAGTATGAGCACTCATTTGTGTTTTCATGCTCATGTACTGTATGGATAGCGTGCAATATGGATGTGTGCATTTTGAGATGAATACTTCCACACCTCAGACAGATATGCGTAATTCAGAGTGAGTTTCATTTACCTTTTATAGTGCAAATGAGCTTCTGTAAGGCTGGAGAATCTTCTTAAATCAATTTGGCTTCTCTAGTTAATGTGCTCTGGCTGCTGCATAGTACAGCCTCATCAGGACTCTGTCTGCTGGGTAACGTCTGCATCCCTCCATGTTTCCATTAAAATTAGCTAATTAAGATTCATCTCACCATGTAATTAAAGCCTGATTGTTTCATGCTTTAGACTCGTAAATGGGTTTTAAAGTAAAGTTTGAGTCCTGGTTGAAATACTTTGGTAATATACAGTATGTTTGTTAAGAAATGTGCTATTAGGAAGCTAGAAGAAGAAGTTAGTTTACCCAGGCCCATGTTGTCTTTTTAACACCCTTTTTGTTTTGTATTCAACCCATTTAGAAATAGAAAATGGTTGTTGGATTTATGTTTAAAATATTTTTGGCTATCTAACATGACAGTTAACAACAATACATGTGTTTTTAATTCAAGGTAGGTTAACTGCTTGTCTCTGCTTTTGAATGTTTTCTCGCATGTAATAGACTCTCATTCAATCATTATTTCAACAAAATACTGAATATTGTGTCACAACAATCAAAGATAATCATTTCTTTCTTCTGGCACTGATCTATATTTGTCCTTTTCTCCCAGTGCACAGTATTTATCATTCACTACTGTTAGAGATACATTATGGTATCAACAATCCTGGAAATCGGACTTTGTTGTTGACTATGTATTAAATAGCCAACATATATGTGTGCTTTGCTAGGCTAAACATGATTTGAACTATATGTAAATGTCTTGAATTAAATAAGATAAAATGTACATGTATATACAGTATTTTGCTTAATGAATATTGTTAACAAACAAGTTTCCCGATACTCTTAAGCTTGGTATTACAGTAACTTATCCCAGAAACATTGTGGTTCTGCGGCACACTCAATGTTGTCTACATCAACAATTACATCGTGATGCCAAGCCTATTGTATTCCCTTCTGACTACTGTCCATGCTTTTGTTTTTTTTCTCTCAGAATGGCAACATTGAGAACCCGTACTGTAACGGCATGCAGGGGATTCTTGACGCTTACCATCAAAGCCTTAAGACGGTTCAGCTGTACGGACCCACCAACTTTGCTCCAGTTGTGAATCATGTGGCAAGGTACAAGAACAAATTGCTGTACCAGTCAACATCACAGAGCACATCTGTCCTTTCTTTGAAAGTCAATCTGTAAAAAAAAAGGACTCGCTGTCAAAGGTATTAGGACATTGAATGATGGTTTCTCTTTGAATTGAGCAGAACTAATGAAGGGAAAATAAACAATCGGCTGCCAAGCGGAGATGAATAGAAATGGTAATCAGGCGTACAGTATGTGGGACCAGATATTTCTGAGTGCAGGTGCTGCATTGCTTTATAGACATCTAGTGCGGTTGGGGACTGCACCGAATGTTTTGTTGAAAAATGTCAAGATTCAGGCTGAAGTGAAATTATAATAATGTACAGGTGTACACTCCCTCCACCCCCATCGGTATATTAATACCTAACTCATGCTGTGATTTAGCTCTCAGTATCATAACTTGCCTTTAACTTGAATATTAAGGACTTAACTGTCAGGGTTTGAGTTTTTGTGTGTCTAGTTTTGGGGTTATTTTGCTGTTCTGTCCTCCCTGTCGTTAGTTTCTCTGGTGTGTCTAATTGTCTGATTGTGTTCACCTGTTGCCCTTGTGTTTCTCCTCCCCTGCCCGGCTGTTTCTCGTCTCGTGATTACCCCTCCCTGTATTTAGTCTTGTCTCTTCCTGTGTTCAGTGTTGGTTCATTATTTGTCGTTCATGTCCCCCTTCATGTTGGTCACAGTCACCTTTGTTTGGATGCTACCTCGTACCTGTTTTTGGATTCTTGTTTTTGTTCAGCTTTTGTTAAATAAAGCTCGCCTTTTGTTTCCTTTTGAACCCTGCTTCCTCCTCAATCTGCATTTGGGTCCTATTTTTCCCTAACCCTGACATTAACGTTTGTGAACTGCAGTTCTGAACTTGATTTTTAGATGAGATATTCAGCATTGACTTGTATTTCTGCTTTGTTAACAAATACTACATGAATACATGAGCAAGCCACATTAGAATACCAAGGGCCCCAAAGCTACGACTTTTTCAAGGCCTTTCCCCAGGCAGCCTCACTACGCAACTGTTTCCCTGTCTGACCCGCACACACATCGTGCTTCATTTGCATACAACGATGCATCAACAATCACCCACGAGTGCAGTATATCTGTTGCCAACACAAATAGAAGTTATATAATTATTTTTAAGGGATGTAATCAGTGGTGAAAAAGACAGAAAAGCTCCTAGCAAAACGCATCATCCACATACAAAAGCAACCCACCAGAAGAAGAGGTCCTATGGTAAAAAAACAGAGAACGATAAAACCCAATACATTCATAAATACAGAAAATGCAAAAAAATGTTTGATCGAAGAGATTTGAATTTCTTAATCTCGAAAAATGTACACTCTTCAATTCCCAATATTGTCTTTTGTCATACAGTTATTACTCTTCCAATGTGATCAAATGTCTCAAGTGAGTTTGTTGCAGGGAAGAGGAAGACCAAGCTCTTTTTTATCTCCTAAACACCGGTCATCGGTCTTGCCTTTGTCAGGCTCTTTGATTAAACTGCCAGCGCCTCACAGTCAAATTTACCATTTTGAGAGCGAGAGTAATGGCTGACCTCTGACCTGTCCTTGGCTCTTACAGTGTTCTGCCACGATTTCCCCTCCTTTTGCTCATCAAGTGTGTTCAATCATTGCAAGGTGATCAATAATGCTCTGAGAGAATAAGACTGCAGCACTTGCATAAACAGTTTGATAAATAATTCATAGAGGAGCCAGCGATGGGCAAATGAAACTAGGCCACACTCACTGCGCTGCCTCTGATGGGTTTCATAATGTCGTATAGACCTGCGAGACACGAGCTGCCATACCACGTATTTCACTTCTGTGCATGTCTATATGAAGCCTTTGTGTCAGATGGTGGGCGGGGGGCCACTTTGTCTCTGTTTTTAATCTGCGACACAGTGATTGCTGCTCTCCAACTTTCTCTGTGGTAGTTCAAACCAATCTCAGAGTTTTATGTAAATTAATAAACACATTGTCTGCATAATCTATTTTTAACTTACATTTACTTTAACATAGTCTATGTTGTACTGTCTTCAATGACTTTATGTTATTAATTTTTGTTTTCAGCTATGCAGCAGCAGTGCAGGATGGGTCCCAGTACTTTGTTCTGCTCATCATCACTGACGGCGTTATATCAGACATGGCCCAGACTAAGGAGGCCATAGTGAATGTAAGTGCTGCTCTCACACTACCCAGAGACGTTCACCTCCCTCCCTTTCTCCCTCCCTCCCTCCCTTGTCTTGCTCATTAAAAACTGCTCTCATGCTTTCTGTTTCTTTTAGGGGTTTGTAAGCCAGTAGCACTAGATTTGATGATTTATAGGATGTGTTCTGCTCCACTTGTCTTACCCCTTGTGTTTTGTTTGTCCACATTTTTTCCTTTTTATTGAGACCCTCGGGAGGGGCTCTCCTGAGATCCCCTCACAGGTCAACAGGTTCACCTTATCGGATGCAGAGCTCTCACCCAGCGCATCCTCTGAGGCTCAAGAACAGGGCGCTCTGACCCACAGCAGACTGGGTTTAAAGGGAATTTGCGACTGTTAATCAAACCTTTCGAACAGCCACACCTTCCTTTTAAGATCTTGTCTGCTGCTCTGCACTGCTCAGCCCGGCCCTGTCGCGTACCTCTGCCACCTCCCACCTCTCAGTATGGACTTCGCCCCCCAAATTCCTCTGCTCATAGAGCAGAGGACTGAATGACCTGCTTCTCTGTGCCTTTAGCTTTTGCTCCTAAGAAATACGGTAACTCATAAAGAATGAGTTATGTGCAACGCTCATTCCCACACTTTAGGTTTCTTATTTGTGTTCTCAAAAGCTGTTTTTTCTTTTTATATTTGCACATATCAGATACCTGTGGTAATAATGTTGAATGTACTGCTGCTGACCACACTGTACAGGCCAAATCGAACCAGCTCAGCTTCGCCTCCGGTGACTAATGTGTCCACAAATCTTTCAGGACAGCCCCTGGGGGAGTCTTTGCTTTGATGTTATTCCTTTAGGCTCCAACTTTCATTTCAGGAGTTTAAATAATAAAAGAGGGTCTATTTTTGACCTGGTTGGCCACGTATAATTTAATTTAATTTGTGCCCAGGTATTGGATTGTGTCTCCGGGTGTCAGTTTGTTTTCTGGATAGGAGGCTGGCTCCACCGGTAACTTCATAAAACCTATGAATATTTTAGATTGAGAGACACTTGAACGACTGAATTCGGTTTGTTCATCTGCTGAATCAACAAAACTAACACTCCACCTGTCTGGCCGACGTACAATTATACAAATTGCAGAACAGATACCCTGCTACTCAAGAGTTTAGAGGCCAGTTATGTCTGGCTGTTTCTTTTGGCAAAAATGTGTAAAGAAATAATGTGTCTTAAAAATGCATCCATAGAGAACATGAAGCCTTCGTTGTGCATGCAAAAGAGTAAATGCAAAAATGCTTAACCATTCACAAACACATTCATACAGCCATGACAGGGCTGCCATACAATGTGCCAAACTGCCCATCTACTAATCTAATGCTCACTTTCCCACACACACACACACATACACACACCACACCACACCACACACACACACACACACACACACACACACACACACACACACACACACACACACACACACACTGAAGAAGAGAAGAATAACTGCAGGCAGAGAGCTGCAGTGAGATCCCCTGAGTGACTTTACAGTACAAGCAAAGTGACAAATGGTGTAGACTGAATAATTCAGACCGGGAAACAGAATCTAAAATGACATTCAGGTATATGAGTGTGGGGTCTTTCACTGCTGGAAATGGGCAAACAGAATGCATGTATTAAGTGCGGTAGCAATAGGTCATGAGGAATGAGCCTGGTGGAGGCAGAGGTTAAAATGGGAAAGGAGATGAAGGGGGGAATAGTGATGGAGAACATTGAGAAGATGGTCCTCCTTACTGCATGTAGTCCTATCTGTGACAGGCCTCTCCCCTCGGGGGTTTTTCCAGGAGAGATGACCGACTTTTACCCCTGTAAATGTATTTCCACCACAAGCATACATCATTCATTCATGCCAGAGCTATTTCATTCTCCACATCAGGACTGTGGTTTAGTTTCATGCAGTTGAGAAACTTGTACACCACATACTGTGTGGAAAATAAGCCTTATTAAATCTTTATTGTTATTCATGTTAACTTTAGTTCGTATTGGTGTTAAATTTAAAGGAAATGTAAAAAATGTATTCTGGGCTTTATAGATTTTGAAACATTTATATATGCCAAGATCATGAATAGATCATGCAGGACTGAACATCTTAGTGTATAGGATGTGTATATTTTGTGAATAAAGTGCTTTACTGTATTCACGTTATCTTAACTGTTTTTATCTTGTGCTTTGTTACCAAGTCCAAAACATGTTGTAACCTTATGTACTTTAAATCATTATATTCCACAGTGTTAAAGCGGCTTGTAAATGTATATATACATTTACAAGCCGCTTTAACACTGTGGAATATAATGATTTAAAGTACATAAGGTTACAACATGTTTTGGACTTGGTAACAAAGCACAAGATAAAAACANTAAACTAGAGGGCTATCACTATGGGCAGCAACGCTGTAAATATTGACAAATAAATCCAGCAAAATGGCACAAAAAACAGGTAGTGGCCTGGCTGGGTGTATAATTCCCAGCCTGACTTATTGTCCCATTCCGGCCCTGATTGACGCATGACAACAAATATGGTCTCTTTATTTCCCCCTCAAAATGCACCAGATTGATGCATCTACTGTAACTTCAATATTTAAAAAAAGATCTTCCCGGGGGAGCATGCCCTCGGACCCCCCTAGAGGGTGACTGGACCACTCCCCACTTATAAAAATAGCACTTTACCACTGCACCCCCTCTAATCTCAGATGCACCCTGAGTGATTTTGTTTAAGTACAGTGAGCCTTTCTAAAATATAAAGTAAAGAGACAAACACACCAGCATTATAGGATATACTATATGACTTCGAGCCAAATACTTGTTTTTGGGCTGTTTAAATAAATTGACTTGAAACAGTTGCTGATTTAGAGTACTGGCACCTTTTTTATTCCAATTCAAGCACTGGTCTTACTTGTGGTGTAACAATAGACTTGGAGTTTGGTGGGAAACAGAAAAATGTCCCCTTGGCAGTCAGCCTTGAAGCTGAAGGTATCGTCATTGTGATATAAAATACATAATAAAATGCATGCAATAATAAAATGTACGTACATTAAGTAATAACAGAGTATTAAGAACTTGAACACAAAAAAACTGACCATATTTTAACAACTAAAAGTACTTCTGGTTGATGGAACATGTGACAACCCTACCATGTAAATTCGTTTTCAGCTCCATGGACAGCACCCAGTGAACTGCACATTGGCACAAATCTTAAAATAGAATAGAAACTGAATAGAAAATCAACCTAATTTTTGTAAAAACCAGTGGGATAAGGTTGGTTAGAAAATATTGCTAACATGCGAATGGAGGAATTTTCCACATGGCTGGGTTTTGGAGGATTACAGAAGCATTCATGATGAACACTAAAGTGAAGCTTCACATCTTGACTGCACTGGTCTGAAGAATACAACAACAAAGTTGAAAACACACACTCAGCTGAAATGAGGAATTTCCTGAAGGCGAAACCCAACGAGCTACAGAGCAGCATTTTAACCCAGGCCTTAGAGAGAAACCTATTTTCTTATTTAATTTCAACTTAAACCAGAAAGATTTATAGCTGTTTTTTAAAAAGACAATGGCAATGTACAGGTGATATTAGAAAAGCAGAGCTGGCTAAAGACAGCCACTGGTTTCTGTAATGTTTCCTCTCAGTCCCTCTTTCGCACTCTGTCGCAGAGAGTTGGAACGATGGAGCTGAGCTGTGTCACACCCACACAGCAGCAGAGGCTGTTATCATTACACTCACAGTCTACAGCTATTTCTGTTGCCTCTGTTGGTGTTTTTGTGTGAGGGGTTTTACACACAAACATATTCCAATATACTCTATGTGCTGGTGTATCTTCTGAGGGTGTTAACACACAGAGATGAGTAGGAGTAAGAGGGATCAGACTGAGCACAGCAGTCACAAAACGTCTCTGTGGACTGGAGAGGAAAACAGAGAAAAGGGATATGAGGTCAAACATGCCAGCAAAAATGCAATTGTTTCAAAGGATCGTAGCTTTTACTTTTGGACTTTCAAAGAGCTAGGATTAATTTCAGATTTTCACACAAACCATAATTAAAAACTATTTTCCACAATGCTCAGTCACTACCAGCAGGAAAAATATCAAATCTCTGCAAATATCAAGCTTTTGAGCGTCACTACAAAGACAGCGAGGTAGTGTACGTTCTAACTCATTCATCACATTCTTTCACATCAAAAGAGCCTCAATCAGCCCGCTTTGAATTCACCAGGAGACTTTATTCCTCTCCATGAAAGAAGTAGTCATTCTTCACTCTCTCTTTGTTAATATCCCATAGGACCAGGAGGGAGTCTCTGGTTTACACAGGCCCAGACCCAGCGGCTGGTGCAGGACTCAAAGGACATTGCCTCCCATGGGTGGCTCCTCCTCTCCTGCTGTACTCCTCATACTCTCTTCCACTGTCTTGCTACACTCTCTGTCACTCCTCTGTGCTTTCTCTTATCTCCTTTACTCCTCACTCCAGCCTCCCGTCCTCTGTCCACGCTCATGGCTCTTTTTCTTCTCTCATACGATGACCCTCTCTCAGTTTTGAAATCACCACTCTACTTCCACTGTTCCTCATCTCATCCCTTCCATATTTTCTCTTTAACTCGCCTCCTCTATTCTTTCCCCTGCAGTCGCAGAGATTACTGTCCTGGCTCAGAGTCACTGAAGAGGTAATCTGAGGTTCTGAGTAAATAAATGCAGAGGGCGCAGCGAAGAAAGCTGCAGATAAAGAAGCTGTCAGTGTAGGAAGTATTATCTGAGTACTCTTGAAATACCACCTACTCCGGAGAAATCTCCAAAGCCTTTTATTGCATGACAAGGCTGGTCGTGCAGGGCTATTTTCTGGTTGCTGCTACATGGCATGCGTCAACCAGGGAGTGTTTCTCAGAGCCAAAATGGTTCATGGCTGCTGGCAGCATCAGCAGTCTGAGATGTTACAGCAATTGGTTTAGCATGAGATTACGTTGGTGTGAAGGGTTTTATAGTCTCAGGGGATTATGGGAAATTATCCATTGAGAGGGAGAGAATTTTAATTTGAAAATTGAGTGTAGTCTGACTATTTTTATTCAGGGAAATAAAGTATCTGCTGACTTTTTCATTTAAAAATATTCAAGATGTGTCCTTCTTTAGCAGGGTATTACAATGCTCCAATAACTTGGAGTACTCCAGTCACATGACATAGGCTAATGAAATCAATATAGACTTGTATTTAAAGAAAATGCTTAATTTCCATAACAATACACCTATAAAATAAAAAAGCACTAAAATCCAACAAAACAGCTATGTCATAACCTTTTAGTGTAATAAAACGCTTAAATGATGGAGTCACATTACAAGAAAGCTATTGAGAAATGTATTTTTTTATACTTTTGTAAAATCAATTCAGTAATAATAATATTCAGTTATTATTTTAGCATTGTTTTCACTAATACCGGTTATCACATATATGAAATAATTATCATTTGCTGATTAATTTTAATAGCCTTTTTTATTAATACATTACTTATTTTCCCAGTAAATATATTCTTGTTTGAGATGATACAATTGACCGTCCACAGTCAGTTAAACATGCCTTGGATTTCAGACTGGGTTTTAATTCTCAGTGTTCTCGTGGTTTGTGCTGGCGCGTAGAATAACATAAACTCCCTGAAATACCTCTGACATTTTACAATTCAGTTTTGTTTTGTCCGTAATGGGAATACAATTTTTTGCGGAACAGGCTGTTCCAGTATGCAACAAACAGTAAATAAGACTTACTGCCAGGAGGTAATGGTATTCAGCATGCTGGACTCCCCTCTGAGAAGTCAGCACTCAGCTCCAGGAACTCAGCTCTTCTCCATTTTTACATTTGTTGTGTTTTTAATGTGTATGGTCATTGCCTTTAGAAGTGCTTTAATGTCATATTGCATCCCTACAAGGAAGGAGATGTGATATCCAATTATGAGATGCACTATTCCAAAACAAATATTTCTGTTTTTACAATCAACAAGCACATTTCCATTTATTCAAATGTCACAGACCATAAAGATTGTGTATGTCATCTTACATCCAGTGTGTCCCAAAATGTAATTTCAAATGGACAGACAAAAAAAGGCATGTATGTGTTTCTATTCTGAGAATCTGATTGAAATGTGATCACAATAATTATTTTCTTCTGCCTCAGACATCTCCAAACATTACCTAAGCATTGGGTAGTAACAAGAAACCATTCTTCCCTCCCCTCTGCCTCTATTACAGTGAACTAAAACCTCACTTATTCTTCTCGGATCAGTCTTTATCGGTAGCCTAATTATGATTTATAGCCAATACAGTCGTGGCTGGTGAATAGTGGTATAGTGAGTGCATTTGTGCTGCTGAGCGAGACCTCTGTTGTAGCCTCCAGCTGAGTGGAGTTCATTTTGAACAGCAGAACAGAGAGGTGAACCATACAGTTAATGCTAGCTGTGGGGAGTATAGGCTGTAACGAATCTACTCCAAATCCAAACCTGAAGAGAAATAGCTTTATGTTTTATCAATTTTCCTGAGCTCAATGGTGGATGTTTTCTCACCAGACATGAAACAGCCCATCTTGCGGTTTTAATTGGGCAGTGCTGGCAGTGCAGTGATGTACCATGAAAGAACCGGTTCTGGTTGCTTTCCAGGTCAATACTGAAACCGCAGGTCCACCCTGATCTCTGATTAGAGTTAGAATTGCTTCTGCACACCTTCCTTGCTCTGTTAAATGGATAATAAAACAAATACAGAGTCCAGAGGGAAATTCGGTGTGTGCTTCCCCCACTGACAACTGACCTTATTGTTACACAAACGCTATAGGTGTTTGTTGACAACACTGCTCTGCAAAATTAAAAGTTGCAAGCTGCAGCAAATTATTTTAATGTTTATCTTAGAGAATGTAATATCCAATCTTTAGTTTTTTATCAGCTTAAGCACTTTAAATTTTATTTTTTTAATAAGAGACAAACACATTTCAGTCGTTACTGCATTGCCAACATGCAGACATTGATTCATGCAGGTGTATAAAGTCTTATATTGGAGATACTGCTGATGGAAATCCATGAGGTAATAGTACAATAGTTTACCAATTTGAAAAATAAATGTAAAACCTCAATGTTTTGAGACAATCTCCAAGAGTAAGGTTTAGAGAATCTAGCTATTTTAGCTTAGTTTAACCAAAAATCTGAGACTGTTTTTTAATGTCTACTTTGGGTTATAAAATGTTGCCTGCCAGAACTCCAGAGTAATTGGTGTAATTAGTTCTTAGCAGAACTCTCTCTTCAATGGTTTGCACATTATACATGTGAAACGTTACATATAAGTAGGGTATAATTCCATGTCATTAGCTGTTGATTTTCCTCCTGGCTGCCAGTCAGGGGTTATTGTTCAGGCGGTAAGTGGGTTTGCGAGGGAGGTGTTGGCTCCATCTTAGGCCGGTAATTTATGGCTCCAGCTGCTGTCTCAATCTCCCCAGGTGGACTGCTGGATGCGTGAGCAGTGCATTTCATTAGGGGCAGAAAAACCCATTTCTAAGGGGAAGACATTCTGCGAGAGGACAATGCTTATCCCTGATTGGTCACCAGGCTCTCACGGGGATAGATTTCTAGATACATCAACCATCCTGTTGAGAGCCAAAAAGCTGCAATCTAAATCTCATGAGAGGAGCTTTACAAATCTGTGATCCCTCACTGACAGTTGGATCCATAAAAATGTGGATAGCTAAGCTTAGCTGAGGGAATTTTACACATAAAAGACTGTTTACATAACTGTTTCACTCAAGGTTATTCTCAGTTCACTGCAAACAGCAGATTTAGTATACGTTTTTATCCACTTTTAGATGCCCATCCTTCTGGATCATATTTGCCCACTTGTCGGTGACTTTAGAAAATAAACAGACAAGTACAAAATGCAAATGTCATAATGCGCCACCTGATTCTTCCCATTTGCAGTAGTTTAGCTTCTTGTAAACTGCATGCAGCATAGTACACCTGGAAGGGGAAGAGAAACATGACACTGATACATGTCAAGTACACAGTATTCTTTTATGACAACCTAACATATTCAAATTCCTAATTAATTACAAATTAAAGGTAGGGTAGGTAAGAATGGAGAAACCAGCTCGAGTGCGCTAGAATTTGAAAGTACACAACCGAAAAAAATCTGCCCCCTCCTCCAGACTTCCTTACAGAGCCCCTCCTCCAACACACACGAACGCGCACATGACCAATGAGGGCACGAGATAAGTTTGTGCACAGATGGAAGGCTGACAGGCAGGTAGGCCATCCAGTTATTTTAGCTGGGCCGCTAAAATGATTGGTCGTGCTTTTTACAGCGCCACATTTAAAAAAAAATGTATTGTCAAAGCAATTAATGTACTCATTGATATCGGGATGTTAAGAGCATTCCATGGAATATAACAAAAAGTGTTTCTGAAGTGAATTACCTACCCCACCTTTAATAAAAAGTCATTTAAAGACTAAATAAGTCCACCAAAGCAAAGTAACGCTCAAAGGTAATGGGGACTCCTTCAAAAAGAATCAGAATTAAAATCTGATATTTTTTATGCAATGTTTTCTTTATGATTGCCTGGTCCCCCTGCCCCTCAGGAAAAAAAACTGTTTACTGTTCTTTAGAAGTACTAATGCATGATGAAAACACTTTTAATGAGACTTTGTGTGGCGCTTGAGGGAGCTGCCTAGAGTCTCATAAATGTTTAAAAATAAAACTTGAAGAATCTAATGACTCAACAGCATTGTGGATACTTTTCTTATCAAGGAGGAAGAACATATGGAATACAAATTATGATATCTCTGGTAATTAATTAGTAGTCAATTAAAAGTTCAACATTGTTATTATATATAAAGTGCAATGCTAAATTGGTGAAGTATGCTATTAAAAGTGTGCTAAGTGTTAAGTGCTAAAAGTTACCGCTCCATTTACTTCTATCTCAAAGCGACCAAACACACAGAACACTCATCTTGCATTCTGCCAAAGTTATCAATATTTTATTAATCTTCAGTTAAGGCAATCCATTACAAAGCATTTCACAAACCACAGTATGACGACAATATCATGTCCAACACCTGGTTTGGAAATTATTCAGCATGCAAGTCAGAGACCAAGAGAGGTATGTAAACAACCTGGGATAAAACAGGAGTAGTGGAAAGAACATCCCATACAGAAAGTGTTGTATAGGAACAGAATGGAAAGAAACCAGAGATGCAACATGCTGGAGGTGACCGTTATCTCTAAATACCATCCCAAGTAACAAACTAAGCACATGGCGGATGCACTAATCAGGTGAAATAAAGGTAGACTACCAAACCTCCTGCCATTGTGGCACAAACATGCACATATTGTCTAAAGAGGCTAAGTTCAACAACTGAACACATTTTGGCAATTCATATTCTTCATTTGGGGCTTATGTACATAATTAAATAGTTTAGCCTCAAAGAAAATATTAAATTAAAAGATAATCAAAGCCATTTCCACAGAGAGAAAATATGTAAATTGAATTGTTGGAAAGTCATCATTTAGACTGAAAAATATATTTAATTATAACTCTGTTTCACAATTGCATAAGTGTGTCATTACTGTGCTCCTTTCATTTTCATTGATTATTTGTTTAGTAGCCTACTGAGGGGTAGTAGATTTTTTATTTCCCTGTGGAGGAAAACTCACAGATGGCGGGGGAGTAGTTTTTTAAATAATTTTAGTAGAAGGGCTCAAAAGCCATGTAGTATTAATAGAGGAAATATTACTGAAAGTGCACACATCATACAGGGCCAACTCCACATTATCTTATTGACTCTCACAAGGGTTTGCTATCACACTCACAGTATATACCGTACGCTGCATGCTGATGCTGACTTTTATTGTCCGCAAAATGATGTCCTCATTCATTTTACTCTCAGTTATGATGATCCTATGAAGTGAAATTTGAAGTGTTTACAGTACTTGGAAAATCAAAATATAACAGCTATACAAGTCATTCAATTATAGTATTTCATTGAATATATATGTCATAAGAAATGTAATAAATGTATGTTTATGATTTTCTTTTGGCTGAATGGCTTTCTGTAGAGGTATTCTGGTATTTATGTGATGTATGTGCTTAAACGCAATGGCCTCATTTCACTGCAACAACTGAATTTGGCAACAGATCAAACACTGCTTTGTTTCTGACGGAAAAATGTCATCCAAAATTAAGAACGGAAAATAAGTAAAATATGGATCTGGGCCTGTGAGCGAAGGAGTTCACTTCCTCTGGAGTTTCTGCAGTAACAAAGGATTTCATTTTATCGGCGAGAGCACTAAAGTAACGGGAGTCGGAGACCAGTATGCAGTTAACAATGGTACGTAAACACATTTGCTCTCAACACAAAACAAAGTATTGTAACAACAACAGTGAGAAGTCTGTGTGATCTCAACAACTTTTTGTAAACGTTAGTTCTCATTACGAGTACAAACAAGACTGAATAATGCACAACTCAACTATAAACTCACTTCAAAATAAAACACATGAATGTTTCCTTTTTCCATGAGGCAATGTGAACAGCCACAGTTGAGTTGTAAACAAGTCTTGACTTTGAAATATTGGACAACAAGGCTTAGCAACACTTTTAACTCTCATTGTTTTAGACCCAAAGTGAAGAGCTGTTAGTATAAAAAGTACAGGACAGTAGTTGAGACAGCATGTAATAGTTTGTAAGAATCCTAATCTTGCAACAGTTTTTATCGCCAACATTGTGTGTACATCTTAAATATGAGACCTGCTGCTGCCGGCAGAATGACACCTGGGTAACTGAATTTGGATATGTTTCCATAATAGGCACATTTGGATTGAGATATTGAGTGACAAAGAGATACGAATGGAAACAATGGCCAATATTAAAAGATATGATGTACACAACTGAGCCACAATGGCTGTCATTCTCTTTGAAAACAATTCAGAGAACAAATATGAATATATCAACAGCTGACTTTAATTAAATTGTAGAACTAGATAATGAAATTGTATCTTAGGTATTAAAATGGTATCTCAATAGCCTAGAGAATTAACTTCTGAACACAAGTGTGAAACAAATTTGTGAACAGTCAATACATTTGTAAAGTAAAACATAGCCGTTTCTGTTTTTTTGCAATCCGTTTTTTTTCTTCAAAAAACAATCAACGCCCAAATATCTCATGCAAGATTTGTGATTGTTTGATTTTTTTCTTTACAGGGAAACAAATGTATTGGTAGACATTGGTCTTTTGAATGTGTGTTTACTTCAGAGCAAACCCCAGAGAGTAAAACGTAACAACAAATATAATGGGAAACACAAACAGCGAGATGACAAATGTGCTACAGTATGTCATGGATTATAATTTCTTCTGCAAACAAACAGGGAGAGCAAGTATGTGCATAGAGTTATTCATCTATTTTCTGTAAACATACTGTTTTGGTGATTAAATATATTTTCATTTTAATACATCTGAATAGTATTTTCTTATAAACATTCTTCCTGTTTCATTTAAAATTATGTGTTAAAACTTGTGCGGTCCCTTCCATTACTTTCATTGTGATAGGTGTTGGTTCCTTTAAAAAAAAAAATGTTGAGCTTATTTCCCATAATAACCTTTGTGCTTTATATCTGAATTAGTGCATTCTGTTATTATACATTTTAGAAATATGTATAAGACATGGTGCTGAAAAATCATTATGGAAACAGCTTACAGCAGGCTCTCTACATAACTGCTTGCAATCAAAACGATCTATCAGTGAAAACTATCCATGAACTGCTGAATATGTTTTATATCATGCTTTTATAGTACAGTCCTTATCAAAGTAGAAATGGGGATTATTTGTATTAAACTGCTCACAAAATATAAGATGAAAAACTACAGGGAAAATATGACTTTAATCCCCACTATCTAAAACCCCCACAAAGGAATAAATAATTTCTGCAATAAATAAAATAAATTAGTATACATATGATATCTTAGTTCAACACACACCTATTCCAAAAGGTATCACAAACATGATACACACTGGCACATTCTAATATGTATGCCTTCAAACAGGCTCTCTCTACGGGTTTACTTGCTATCCATTACATCACCACTTTGACAGGTTTGACAGCGAACAACTAAAACCTCCTCCAGCACGAGCTCCTCTCAGCGCTCTTATCCTCAAGCACGCAGAGAGAGAACACTCCATGATCACCTGCAGCCTCACCCAAAGCAGTCATATTCCTCCAAAACAAATTGGAGTCTTACCATCTTTTTGTATAGCCAAATTAATATTTACGTAATGGCCTTAAAAGAGTTTCCATCTTCCCAAAGGACGGTTTTGAGTTATTGACCACCTCTACCCTGCCCCACCACAACGTGGAGCTGTGTGTGGGGCTCAGACGGGGTTGGTCTGTGGTTGGTCCAAGGGCGAGTAAGGGGGGGGGACGGAGTTCGGTTTAATGGCTCTGCTCTTCATGTAGGAGATCAATTGGTCAGGGATCTCTGCAAGTACGTCTTTAACCAGCCGCGCCATGCTCAGCACGTGGTTCCCTGTGCGGTCCATGTAGTCTCTAAACGGGACAAACTGGAAGACATATATGACTTTATGAAAAGAATGTTTCATGTACACGGATTCATCATAAAACATCAGGATATATTTTTGCTTTAATTCATGCTTTCCTGGTTTATTTGTGTTGGGAAAATACTGAATGTACTCTAATATCAGAGTAGCACAAAGGCCCAAATCTAGTAACTGGATATATGATTACCTAGAAGAGCGTCAGGACACACTGTTTTAGGCATATGATAGCTATGTGACAACGATCAACATGATGATTCAGCCTCTATGGAGATAGGCACATGACTCTCATGTTTATTGCTTACGCAGGCCTTAGCTAATCTGAACTAAGGCCAGAATACTGCTTTGAACCGGTATTCTTGCATCTTGTCACTGTAACACCCTGTCTTGTGTAAGGCATGTGAAGTACACTGTTCAGGGAACTATCTTGTCCCGTGCAACTCTGTATGTGATGACTACTTCCATTCTTGCAAGGATAATAAATACATGTATCCTGATATTGAAGCTCAAGCCGGTGACGAGTGATATTTTTCTAACAATTTGTAACTATCAAAAAGAACTGAATGTGCAAATACAATCTCTGAATCAGTGAACGTAGGGTGTACCATGATTCCTCTTAGTGAATTCATTTGCAAACATGACATTAATTATCTCTGCTACGCTGACGATACACAGCTATAGATACCTGAAACGCCAAAATATTCTTTGCAACTCCAAAACTTAGAGACATGTCAATCAAAACACATTTTTAATCAATAAATATGAACTTTTTCCAGTTGAATGCAGTTTAAACACAACTGTTAGTTTTTGGTCTAGGGCTGGACTGTAGAGCCTCAAGAGATCCTTGCTTGAATATCAAAGACAGCATATCACTCATTGCTGCCATGCCACTGCAGTATTTACATTCTTTCATTTACTGTCATTAGGGGGGGAATGCCGTTGTCCGAAAATATGCAATGGAGATATGCTTGCTAGATGTTTGTTTCTGAAAAGCAAAATATTTTTTAGCTTTTCTTTAAATTCCTTGTTGTCCTCTTCACTCTTAATAATCTCAATGCTCAATAGCTATATGTGATAGCCCCCTAACGCAGCGCGACCATAACCAAAATAATACATTTTTTGAGAATGAGCAAAAAACGTAACATAATGTAAAGATTTCTCAGAATCTAAACTCTAATTAGCATAATTGCAAGACAGTCTGACTCGTAACTGTTGAGATAAATGTCTTTGACATAAAATCAAAAACAATAGGCCCATCTGCATTGTAAGAAACGTACCAATATTACACCTTTTAAGCAATATAACAAGCTGTATGAGGAAAACATCATCTTACCTGTACAATGTCTCTCTCTGCCAACTTCCCCCGAGAAGAAATCCTGATGTCATCACCATCCAGCTCAACCATGGCTACAGAGAAAAGTCAATGACATGTTGATGATAATGAATCATAACAGTTATACACTGGGTCAAAACTAAAGAGTAAATATGACTTTAACAAAGAAACTATCTTTGATGCAAACAGATCCAAAAACTGCTTTCATTCACACTACTGTTCTCACCATCGAACTCAGCTTGGCCAACCCCAACAATGATGATAGACATGGGGAGTTTAGCTGCCTGTTGTGAACAAGAACAAACACACTGTTTGTTAGGGGAACATTTCATTCATTCATTCATATTTTTCTCTCAAAACACATCTCATTTTACAAAGTCAGTCTAACATTGGAAGCACCTTTCTCCAGAGATATTAAATAATATATCTGATACATAGCCTTTTCTTGACTTTTATTGAAAGAAAATACATTACATTGCATCTATACATTATTCAACTCAGGGTCCCAAAGGTTGTTACAAAAGCTAGCAGATAACAGAATATTTGACCTTACTCATAAACCTATATATATATATATATATATATATATATATATATATTTTTAAAATTTTTTTGTCTAGATAGAGTAAATACAACAACCTGTACTGAGAAGCAAGTACGTAGTGAAGAAACCCGAAGAGATGTGGAAAACAACGTAAGTACGTCCATTGGGGAAAAAATCCAAAAAATGTTAAAGAATTTTCTGCCGCGGCTTCAAAATGACGGATTTGATTGTGCACGCTCAACATTAATCATCTCTTCCACTTTTCTTTTTCTTTCGTTTAGTTAAGCCCCACACCCCCTATGTATGTAATTAGTGTTCATCGGGACAACAACTACGGGTCAATATAGTTTTCGGCTACTGTACAAAGAAGATGTAGGAACAAATAATCATTACAATTATCCATGACCGAATATAGAAATAACATGACTTAGAAAAAAAGTTAACAGTGTGGGAAAGTGATATGTGTTTTTTTAATTGTAAAAAGGGACTATAGCTATTTGCGGGTAGAAAAAAACATATAGGTCCGACGTTGTCCCCTTGTAATTAAAGACTTTTAAGAAACGGTGGTATTCGTCTGGAAGTGCGACTTGATACACTAGGGTCCCATTTTTTTTTTTATATATTATAAGAAAATTATATATATATAATAGAAGAGTATACATAAAAAGATTTGACTGGTTAAAAATTTTTAACATTTCGGTTACTAACCCTTCACCTGACTTAGTTTGTGTATTAACGGTGGCTTATTTTATAATTAACGAAAAAGACACGTTATTTCCTGTACGTACACCATAGACAAGATTCTTATGAGTGACAGTTAGATCCCTTGTAAGACTGTTCACGAATTACCACTCGCAATTGTAGACACCACACACGACACACACACACACACACACACACACACGACACACACACACCACAACACACACCACACCAACCACACCACACACTACAACACCACACACAACACCACACACCCACACACACACACCACACACCACACACACAAAGCTCGACCTCCTCACCCGGGGGAACGTCACGAACGGGGAGCAACTGACTGTCGTCGTCACGCCGACATGTTACCGACGTAGAAACGGAGACACAGACTGACGGATATTTGTGTCCCTCAACCCCTAAAAACCTGAGGAATGTACGTCTTGAGGTCATAAAACTAGCGGAAGCTCTCTAGGGTGTCGGCGTGAGTACAGGAGAAGGGGAAAGAGAGGACGGGTTTGAGTTATCGAGAACACCACCTAAAATGGGTAACCTGTTTTAGTGAGATGGGTAACTGGAAACCAGGTTGATAGTTGTTCGGACCTTTCCCATAACGGAATAAAGCGCCAAGGTTTTCCCCGCCCAGCCGGCTGGGGGCCCCCAGCGGCTCTAGAGGCCTCACCCCGCGCAGCGCTCCTACTAATGTTTTATTTTACCTTTTATTTTAATTTTTTTAATTAAAATTTTTTTTTTGAACCCTAATTA